ATAAACTTAAATATTAAAACAAATACAAAATAAGAAAAGAAAAAAATGTCATGTGCTCAGTAGAGCATAAGAGAGGATTCAAAATATATAGCAATAAATTTCCATTTCAAGAAAGCCTTTAATAAATACTATGTGTTGTGTTGAGAGCTATCCATCTTTTCTTTGCTTCCTTGTAAGTTTTCTTTTGTTCTCTCCTGAGCACTTTTACTTTGTTCTTTTTCTCCCTTCCTCCCTCCCCCAGAAGGCTAGAATTAAATGTGGATATATTTACATATAGATACATACATAAACATAAAATACACATATATACATGCATATATGATCCAAGAACTCTTTAAAAAATATTTTGATAACTGCATTTCAGCATAATTGGTTTCTTTTATGTAATCCTATATATTTCACTTTGTGCAGTTAGAAACATTATTCTCTTAGAGGATCCATAGACTTCACCAGGCTGCCAAAGAGGTCTAGGATGAAAAAAAAAAAAAAGGTTAAGAACTCCTAACCTAGTTGAAACCTCCCATTTGACAACTTAAAAAATTAAGGCTCAGGGAGGTTAAGGGATTTGCCCATAGTCATACAGAAAGTTAAGTGGTTGAGTTAAAACTGGAAACCAGGCTTTGATTGATTCACTATCAATCAACAAGAATTTAATTAGTGTCAGGTACTGTTAGGGGGATACCAGAACAGAAAATGAAAGTCCTTGCCTTTAAGAAGCATGCATTTTACCAGAGACAGAATATGTACATTTTATAAGCAAATACAATATAAATAATAGAGTAAATTTTTGGTGGTGAGAACACTATATTTTCCACAGCCGCTTATCAGGTAAGACTGAACATTTCAGGGGCACACCTACTCCCAGTTTTGGCTAACTTTGTCCTTGGATCACAGGTGGGCCAGAGCTGTGTGGTGAGGAGTAAGATGAGGTAAGATGTAAGTAAGGTGTAAGTAAGGTGAGGAGCCTCTACAGGCCCAGTTCCTTCAGCTAAAAAATGAGTGTTGGACTCCAGGATCTCTAAGGTTCCTTCAAGCAGGGAATCCTATGATCCTATAAGAGAAATGTAACCATGGCAGCAGTCATGTTACACTGAATCCTCAAAGAGAGTAGATATAAGTACAATCTGAAGATCCAATGACCTGCTTCCCTGACACTCTTCTCTCCTCCCTCCACTCAAATTCTCCAACTATTGTTTCTTCTGCCTAGGGAAGGTCTGGCCCAAGACCCTAAAAGGTGAGCATGAAGTTTGGAACCTTGGCCTACCTGATAGTAAAGCCAAAATTTTTGGCATCCAAGAGCTTTCTTACTACCAAGATAAATATACTGCCTTTATAAACTAGGGAAATTCTTCAAAATCCAATTCATTCAGTTTAATTTTCAAGCTAAAAGTGATCTTGTTCAGTTGTGTCTGACTCTTTGTGACCGCATTTGGGGTTTTCTTGGCGAAGATCCTGGAGTGATTTGCCATTTCCTTCTCCAGCTCATTTTATAGATGATGAAACTGAGGCAAACAGGATTAAGTGACTCTCCCAAGGTCACAAAGCCACTAAGTGTCTGAGGTCGAATTTGAGCTCAGGTCTTCCAGACTCCAAGCTGGTGTTCTCTCTCCACTCACTGTATCACCTGCCTGCTCAAGCTTGTCATTTTAAGGCCCAGAGATGTGAACATGCTCATCTTTTAGGACCTTGGTCCAGACCTTCCCAAAGGTAGAAAAAACATAACTGGGGATGCAAAGAAGGATATATTTTTTTTCACTATTCCTTACTAAACATCTTGTTTAGCTTATTTTGTTCAGTCCCAGAAACATACACTTTCTGTATTACATGTATATTTATTTGGTAATGCCACATGTTCCAGTAAAGGCTCAAAGCCTCCAATGGATAGTGAGTAACACAGGCCAGGCAGGGCAAAGAAGCAACATCTCCAAACCTTGCCCAAGGCCCAGGAGGGAATTGTCTGAATTCTGTCTCCTTCAACACTGGCTCTGCCCCTACCCACAGCAGCTACATCAACTTTGTGTGTTCCATGACTATTCCCACACCTCTATTAGTATGAATCCTACCTACAGTGCAGAAGCTGTGCTCTACCTTTTGAAGTCACCAGGTAGACAAATACCAAAAAGAATATTACAATCACAGCAGAATGAAGCATCTCATAACATCCTTTCCCTGAGGCAACCTCTGGAACTACTGAGTCAAACTCATTAGCAAAAAGCATTTTCAAATGCAAACTTGCTCTAAATCCAAGCCCTGCCCCTCTAGGAATAACGAATTGGGCCTGATGGGCTCACTCACCCAGCTATTCCCCATTGTCTTCCTTTCAATAGGTAATGCAGCTATTAGGAAGAATAGACACTTACGGTGTGGAGCAAACCTCAAATTTAAAGGCAGTCCAGGGGGATAATCACCATGAATTGAGTCTTCTGAATTTCAAGTAAGTGAATGGAAGATTTTTAATTATGTTAAATGCATTCTGAAGGATTTTGCTTATCAAAGACATTGACATATAGCAACGAAGCAATATTGAGAATCTGAACCCAGCCAAGAAACAGAGAGATCCTCTAACGCAAAATACACTCAAGCAAACCCTCAAGTGACAAGTGATGAAGAAATATGGCTGTTAAAATGATGTCATCCTGTTTGTGTTCCTAATTCTTGAATATGCCCTGAATTTATGTGATTATTTTAATTTTTTCTGTTAAGCGGTTTTCTAAGAAATAATCATTCATATGTCTATAGTACTTTGAGGTTTACAAAGCACTTTCTCCATAACAAGGCAGATAGCACAAGTTTTATTAGCCCCATTGTACAGATGAGGAAACTGAGGGCTGGAGAGGTGAAATGCCTTTTCCAGTATCACACTACAAATAAGTGGAAATTGCAAAGACATAGATTTGGGCTTAATGTAAGGAAGGACAAGTCTGAACATTTAGAACTATCTCAAAGTGGAATGGACTATCTCTAGAGGCAATGGGCCTCATCAGAGGTGTACAAGCGAAGACCAGTTAATCAATAAATAGTTATTAAGGCCTACTCTGTGCCAGGTACCATACTAAGCAATGAGAACCAAGAGGAGCTTACAGTATAATGGGAAACACCACATGCAAACAAAAATTTACAAAGCACACTATATACTAGATAAACAGGAAATAATTAAGAGAGGGAATGCACTAGAAATAAGAGGGGATGGAGAAGGTTTCCAGTAAAAAAAAAAAAAAGGATGGAGAACTCACAACTACTCATTGCTTTTCTTCTCTATGCATTTCTTGTGTTCTACATTAGTCATTACTAACACGAATATAAAAGTAAATATGCCCTGACTGGATGAGTTTTTTTGTGAATATGTTGATTGCATATAATACCATGAAATTGAAAGGGGAAGGGAGGTGTTCCTGAAGATAAGGTTCAATCCATATGCATATATTATGAGTTGATTGTGGGATCGGACATGTTCAGCTAAGAGGGATCATACAGTCTAGTCCAACCTCTGAATTTTATAGATATGTGGTGAGTAAAATGACACTGAGGCACCATTTTCTCCAGGACAAGATTACAATTTATTAACAGTGCCCTTAATTCTGACAAGTAAAGATTGCCTTCTGAGCTAGGCAGAGCAATAGGGTTTGACAAAATGGGAAATAGGATGGATTGCAGAGGAATGCTGATTATTAAATAATATGGAAGAATATTAATTTTCCTCAGATGTGAAGTCATGCTTAGAGAAGTTCAATAACTCACTCATTATCACACAGATGGTAAGTAACAGAGCTGGAATTTGAACCTTTTTCTTTCAAATCCAATGTTCTTTACACTACACCATGAACCTGCTAATGAACCCATAGGAATCAATGATATCAGCAGGAAAGAAGGGGAAGAGAGAAAAGAGAAGGCAGGATAGTCTTGAAAATTTTATCCTCATAGAGGAGTCAGGACACTGATGACAGTCTTGCAAAGAAGACTGAGAAAGACCTATCCAACATGTAGGAAAAGAATGAGAGAGTGGTATCACAAAAACCCAAGGAGCAGAGTATCCTTAGGGAGAGGTGGTCAACAATGCCAAATGCTGCAGAGATAAGGAACAGTGAGGAAATGGCTCTATCCAAACACCTTAAGAGACCATTGGTATCTTGGAGAGCTGTTTCAATTCAGGTTGATAACTGAAGTCATAGCTTTGAAACTTGAGTAGGAGAGAGCACTCAATGTAGTACTTCAAGGAGAAGCATTGAGTGTACATAGCTTTTTCCAAGAGTTTGGCTGTGAAAGAAAAAAAGGTATAAAACAATGAGGGAATGGTAGAGTCAAGTGAAGATTTTTTTTAAGGGTGGATTGATCTGGACATGTAAGTAGGCAGCAAAGGAGTCAGTGAATAAAAAGAAGTTGAAAACTAAGAAGAGAGAGGGGAAAGGTGAAATATCAAGAGGAGACTAGAGAGGATAGATGGAAGGCACAAATAGAGGGGGGTGGGAATTGTCAGGAAGAAGGGACAACTCAACCTTTAAGACTAGAGCAAAGGAGGGGCAGCTAGGTGGCGCATTGGATAGAGCACCGTCCCTGAAGTCAGGAGGACCTGAGTTCAAATTCAGCCTCAGACTAAACACTTGACATTTACTAGCTGTGTGACCCTGGGAAAGTCACTCAACCCCAATTGCCTAAAAAAAAAAAGACTAGAGCAAAGGAGAAAAATATAGAATTGGAAATAAGAGGGAGCTTACTACAAATGAACTCAGTTTTTTCAAGAAAGTATGAGGCATGGCTGTCTGCTAAGAGGGATGAGGGAGAGTGGTGAGAAGATGACTTGAGAGAAGATCAGGTTTGGAATAGCCTCTGTGGAGAATTCATTAGAGCAGAGGTCAGGGAGAACTTGGATGGGAGAAAAAAAAATATGTCTTTATTTTCACTAACCTCTAATTGAAATTTAGCCTTTCCTTTAATTATGAATGTTAGCCACAAACATTCTGAGAAGAGACCCATAGTTTTCACTAGACTGCCAAAGGAAACTATGATACAAAAGGTTAAGAACCCTTGCACTTAAAGAGTTTGAATAGAGCAAAAGGATTGGTGTGCAGCAGTGAGGACTCAGTTAAGGTTGACACAGAGGGCCATCACCAGTCATCCTAACCTATGTCTTGCCATTGGAATCTGATGATTCTGGAGGAGAGAAGCCAAGCCCAGTGCTCTATCCACTGCACCACCTAGCTGCCCCTCCATTATTATAAGGATATGATTTTATTTTCTTTATTAATGATTTATTATGTTTGTAGTGGTCTTAATTTGAAATATGCATTCATTCCTAAAATAAATCTAACCTAGTCAGCATGAATAATTGTTAAATGTATTGCTGCAACCTCTTCACTAATATTTTATTCAATATTTTTGCATAGATATTCATTACTGATATTGGTCTAAGATTTTCTTTCTCTGCCTAGTTCTCCCTAGTTTTATTATTAGAACCATATTTATCTCCCAGAAAAAATTTAATAAAGTACCTTCTATCTCCTCTTTTGAAGACAATTCATGTAATGTATGGGTTAATTATTCTTTAAAAATTTGATAGCACTCCCTAATAAGTCTATCTGGATCTGGATTTCTTTTGGTAGGTCTTTTATGGTTTGCTCCATTTCTGTTTCTGAAATATGCATATTCAGAGTATTCTATTAATGCGGGTACTTCATATTTTTATAAATATGCATCCATTTCATTTGTTTTCCATTTTCTTAAAATGTAATTGAATATGGTAATTTCTGAAATGTTCCTTTATTTCCGTTCATTTGTTGTTGATTCCCCATCTCATTTTGCTTTGGCAATTTGGTTTTCCTCTCTCATTAAAAAAAAAAAATTTAATTAGCTAATGGCTTGTTTCTTACTGATATTTTCAAAAAAACCAAATACTTCAGCTGTATTTATCATATTTTGTTATGGTTGTTTTCAATTGTGTTTATATCTTCTTTGTTTTTTGGTGTTTCTATTTTTTGTGCTTAGTCAAGGATTATATCATTTGTTGATTTTTCTAGTCACATGATTCATGGCTCTTTTGCATTTATTGATGTATTTAGGGATATACATTTTCCCCTAAGGACATCTTTGACTATATCTCATGTTTTTACTATGTTTTGTCAATGTTCTCATTTTTTGACATTTATTACAATTGTTATTTCTATGATTTTTTCCTTGGCCTCCTCATTCTTTTTTTTTTCCTTAAAAAGATTTTTTAAATTTATTTTTAGTTTTCAACATTCACTTCCACAAGATTTTGAGTTCCAAATTTTCTCCCCATCTCATCCCTCCCCCCATCCCAAGATGGCATGCATTCTGTATACCCCTTCCCCTAACCTGCCTTGCCTTCTATCTCACCCCCCCTTCTCTTATCGCCTTCCTCTTCTATTTTCCTTTGGGCAGGATAGATTTTTATACCCCATTTCCCATGTTTCTTATTTCCCAGTTGCATGTGAAAATAATTTTTTTTTACCGTGTGTTTTTAAAATTTTGGGTCCCAAATTTTCTCCCTTCCTCCCTCTCCACCCACCCTCATTGAGAAGGCAAGCAACTCGATACAGATTATACATGTGTAGTCATGCAAAAACACTTCCATAGTAGTCATGTTGTGAAAAGCTAAGTATATTTCCCTTCATCCTATCCCCCATTTATTCTATTCTCACTTTTGACCCTGTCCCTCCTCAGAAGTGTTTGCTTCTGATTACCCCCTCCCTCAATATGCCCTCCCCTCTATTGTCACTGTGCTCTCTTGTCCCCTTCCCCCTATTTTCCTGAAGGGTAAGATAGATTTCCACACTCAATTGAGTGTATATGTTATTCCCTCCTTAAGCCAAATCCTATGAGAATAAGATTCACTCATTCTCTCTCACCTTCCCCTGTTTCCCCTCCACTGTAAAAGCCTTTTCTTGTCTGTTTTATGTGAGATAATTTACCCCATTCTACCTCACCCTTTCTCCTTCTCCCAGTATAATCCTCTCTCACCCCTTAATTTTATTCTCCAGATATGACCCCTTCATCTTCAACTCACCCTGTGCCCTCTATCTATCTATCTATATATATGTATGTATATATGCACACATACATACATATAATTTTTACCTTCCAACTACCCTAATACTGACAAAGGTCTCATGAGTTACAAATATCATCTTTCCATGCAGGAATGTAAACAGTTCAACCTTAATAAGTCTCTTATGATTTCTCTTTCCTGTTTACCTCTTCATGCTTCTCTTGAGTCTTGTATCTAAAAGTCAAATTTTCTATTCAGCTCTGGTCTTTTCATCAAGAATGCCTGAAGGTCCTCTATTTCACTGAATGACCATTTTTTCCCCTGAAGGATTATACTCAGTTTTGCTGGGTAGGTGATTCTTGGTTGTAATCCTATCTCCTTTACTCTCCAGAATATTATATTCCATGCCCTGCAGTCCCTTAATGTAGAAG